CCCCCCCCCCAGGCAGGACCTTACGCAGTGCTGCTGCCTGCCTGGGCTCTTCCCTTCCCTGCAGGCGTGCGGTGCTGCGTTCTGTTCTCACAATACTGGGGGGCAGATGGTACATTTCTCCCTGTGTTTCTGTTGAAGTTGGTACAAGAAAACATGTCAAAGTACTCCCAGAGCAGGGAACGCACCAAGGGTGGCACACAGCTTCCACGTGCAGCTGCCCGCCGTCACAAGCCCTGCCCAGCGCGGCGACGCGGGGTGGGGGACACGCTGATTTACTGTACTCTTCCTCCAGGACGCTGATGCCTCTTACTCAAGAAAGAAGAAGTAAGGACAAGTGTGTACAAACCCCAGCTGTTCCCGTGCTCAGGCTGAGCAGCTCTTTTCTTACTGCGTGCCTGCAACCAGAAGCTTTTTCTTTTTTTACCTGTCATACCTCTGTCATCACGTAACGTGACAGATCTGCCAAGCTGTGCACACACAACTGAATAAAAATCTCCTTCTAAACAGCCCCGTTTCCTGTCCAACTCCCAGAGGCTGAACATTTAAGCTTGTAGGAACCGAGACAGAGGAGGCCAGGCAGCGTTTGCTTTTTCTGCTGCTGCGACGTGGACAGATACGTGGTGAGCAGGTGAAAAATCACACCCCCACAGGATCCTGCTTCCCTCACCTTGAGCAGAACCCCCCCTCCCCCCAAGCAGCAGCTTGTGCCCTAAAGGGTCAGGACATACAGTCTGCATTTGGGAAGTGTTCCTCTGGGAAAGGAGATTCTATTTCCTCTGCTGTACAGGTGCTCCGGGAGCAAATCCTGCGTCATCACGACGTGATCTCAGAGCTCAATCCCCGACCTTCTGGCGCAACATCTGGAACTACTCAATCTTTAGGTCTCGGCCCTGCGGCGCAGCCCGCCACGCTCGGTCTCGTGGCCGTTCTGCCACATGGGGGGAGCAGCGGGAAGGGAGAGCGGGGTGGTGTAACCGCACCCCTAGGGCGGGTAGTGCACCGCCTCGCTCTGAGCCTGCCACGTGTTAGATCCACGGAGCGTCGCGGCTAGAGAAGGAGGGCAAAGCCGCGGAGCGGAACAGCCCGCAGCTCCACGTGAGGCTGCGGTCGTAACGCGAAACCCGTTTCACAGCAGATTGCTTACAGCCAGGGCAGCGGTGCTCGCGGTGGAGCCGAGTGAGGGCAGGTAGCGCGTTACGGGCAATTTAAGAGATGAAATAGGTGCCGAGTTGCCAGCTCAGTCAGAACAGGCCCTTCCATACGGAACCCCTCCCAGCAGCACCGGGAGTTCTTGGTGCTGGACAACAACAGCCCCGAGGAACCAAGGGTTGTATTTTTCCATACACTTACCGTCCCACTGACACTAAGTCCAACCATCAGCTACGCGTACCCCTGTTGCGGTAACTCGGCGGCGCTCACAAGTACGCTGACCTTCGTGCCGGTGACAAAACCCTCGCTACGAGCTGGCTGCACCTCGGGCCACACGCTGTCAGGTAAGAAAAGCGTAACAACTCACTAGAAGGTGTTGAAACTTTCCAACCCCAGCACAGAGTCAGCCAAGCGTCACATTGGTAAAATCCCATTTAACTGTCCAGGGACAACCCCCCCGACGGATGGGGTGAGAAGTGCCTGGTGTCACGCTGCTCTAAGGAGGGCAGGTTCCTTCCAGCCCCCGCCCTCGCTAGGGAGGCAGCACGAGGCCTGCGGGACGGCGCAACTTGTACAGCACATGTGCAGATGATGTTTGCAGGATCTTCTAGCTTCCATCCTCTGATCCACAGGTCTGGCAGTGTTGTACATGCAGGAGGCTCGCTCTTGATCTACACGCCCGTTTCTCTGCTGTTTTACTGAAAGGAAAAAAAAAAAAAAAAGTAAGCCTTTGTGCCCAGAGGCCACTTCTCTTGCTCGAGTGAAGGACAGTTGCTGCTGGACACATAAACACAGACCCACCTCCACGGACCCTGCTCTTCCCACCAGCAGCTTGAGAAGGAACAGCGTGGAAGGAGCGACAGTAGACACCAGGGACCAGGCAGTGAGGAAGTTCCCCCTTCCAGGGAGGGAGCTGGTGTTCAGGGAAAACGCGGGAAGCGGAAGCTTTCCAGAAAGGACAAAGCATTTGCCATTTGAAAGCTTAACTTCACAGAATCACAGGATGGTTTGGGTTGGAAGGGACCTTAAAGATCATCTAGTTCCAGCCCCCTTGCCATGGGCAGGGACACCTTCCACAAGACCAAACTTCCCTAATGCTTGGTTCCATTCAACGGATCCCTGTTGCTTTACGGCACACGAACGGGATGGACGCAGTCTCCGGGACGTGATGGTTTTTGTAAAGGCTCAAAAAAAAAGGGTGTGAAATTCTGCTGGTCGGCCCTGAACATTCCTTAGAAAAATACTTCAAAACCCACGTCGTTAAACAGGGGTTCTCCAAAGGCACGATGGAGGTGTCTTAGCTGACCTGCGTGTGATGAAGGTGGCACCCGTGAGGCAAGCAGGTGCGGGTGAGGATTTGGTAAAGCTGACACACACACCTGGTTAGAAATCATGGAGCAGTTCTCGGTGGTCACACAGGAAAACGGTGTGGTGGCCTGCCACAAGCTCAGTCCCAGGCATTCCATATTCCCCTGGTAATCCGGAGCAGCGTTAGGAGAGCTGCAGGCGAGACCAGGCTTGAAGGTGCTCTAATTTCCTGATAAACCGAAGAAACGCCCCAAACAAACAGCACAACACAAGGAACGGGCACTTAGTGCCCCGAACTGGCGATACAGAACCTGAGGCTGTACCTCTCGCCTGAGGCAGGATCTGAAGAGGGTGACAGAAAACCATAGCGTGAATTGGGTCGCGCTGTTGCAAAACGTGCTACAGCGTGCGAACCGGCTCTGCGCTCTGGAGCGAGGGGCTGCAGGACATGCTGCCTGCCATCGCGGGGACAGGACGTTACGCTGGAGCCCAACTCTCCTGGGCACAGACAGGAACACCGCCCACCGCTAATTCCAATCCTCCCTCTAGTACCAACCGAGATCTCTGCAGGAATACGAGCGCCAGCTACCAGCCACGCTTTTCAGGACGGTTGGGTACCAGAGGGAGAGATGCAGAGAAACGCAGGAGAAAAGCATCACAGCCGTCTTCTGTGTTTTTGCTCCACTAGTTTATTCAGTTTACAGAAGACAACGAGGGCAGAAATGACAGCCATCTTCAGGGAAAAGACTGCTGCTGCTGCAAAACAAGGCCATTAAAATTTCCGTGACCATACAGGAGACAAGTAGTGAGAGGCTTACAGTGAGGTGTAATTAGATTTAGGAAAAACCCCTATAGTTTATAAAAACCCCAACTTTCCAACTGCTGCAAGAACAGCGAAGAACTGGAGCAAACGACTTGAGTTCACGACACTCCTGGTACTGAAAGTTTTAAGTCAGATCAAACGTTTGCCAAGAGCAGTTCTTTCGAGAGGAAACCGCGAGAGGTGACCTCTAAAAGCCCCTTCCAGGTGAGTTTCCCTGACTCTGCGTTTCCGGATACAGTTCGTGGCCAGGCGAGGCGGGTTGAGGTTATCAGGGCTTTGTTACTGACATGCCCGCAGGCCAACCACCTCCTGAACGCTGCTGCCATCGACATTCTGGGAGAACTTCATCCTGAAGTGCCACACCGCCGAGTTTGGCGGGGGTTTCCTTACCGTGTCTGAGGCCCACTACGCAGTTTGTGTATTTTTTAGCGCCGTTTATGGTCACCGATCCAAAGAAAGGCCTAATAGCCAAGTACAGGGTCCTGGGACAAATTGTGTCTGGCACAGAAAGGCCCTACAGGTGAGGAATGAAGGTAAGAAACACGCTCCCAGTTGCAAAGCGCAGGCTGTTCTAAAGCACAGCTGCCCAAGTCGCAGAGCGGATCCAAATTAACTTGCTCCTACGGGCTGAAGAGGGACGGTTACCGACACCCTGCTCGGCACAGGCCAGCAGCACCTCCTCACCTACGCGCTAACGATTGGCGGGAACGAACAGGATAAACAAGCCAGCTGAGAGGTGACCTGTTCTCAAGGAGACCTGTAATATTACAGGCCAATGGCCAAATTCTCTTCTAAACTCTGGTAAAGTTAAAAAAAAAAGAATACGTTAACCCTGGCACAGAGAGCTGGATTTCCCCCTCAGGCTCCGTCCCCAAGACTGAACTCTCGCTGTATTTACGGAAGACTCGTTAACAGTGTGGATGCCGGCTGCAAAACGCAGCATGTGTATTTGTAAAATACATGGATACTGGAAGAAGGAAAATGAGAATTAATCTATTAGGACTGGCATTCCTTTTCTCCCCAAATTACTCGTTCCCTTTCCTCAGCAGGTCACACAGGTTACTAACGTGGCAGCCTGCGCTGTTTTCTCTAAGTTCTCTTTGCCTTTAAAACAACTACTTTGGTAAAATCTGTCCCTCGCAGCTTACTTTGTTAAAGTGAAGCTGAGAACTTACAATACTCAGGAAGATCAGCTGAAGTCACATATTATAACAAAGGCTCCAACCGAACTCGGTCCAATAGAAAATGGTCAGAATGGGGAAAAATAAAATCATATAAATAGTCGTATGTACACGCTGGTCACCAACCCTGCGAGTGATGGTACAGTGAGCTGTAACCTGCCAGTGCAAGTCACCTGTCCGACGCTTAAAGAGGAAAAAAAAGTATTAATAAAACCAAAATGCACCAAAACTGGTTCATGATCAGAATTACGCTGCTCTTCTCTAACCTGGAGAAGAGAATTTCAGCATCTCCGGGCTCGTTGGTCACGCAGGCAGCGGTGTCTCACATGCTCCAGCAGCAAGAAAACAGTCCAGAACTCCCCGCTGCGGAGGGCTGTGGCCAGCACCGGTTCTGTGCCAATTAACAGGCACTGGCTTGGCACTGCCACCCAACACTGCCTGGAGAGCAAAGTCTTATTTTTAGCGTAGCATCAACATTTGATTCCTCACGTGCAGATGGCAAATACAAACGGTTACCCAGAGAAAGGGCTGCTGCCGTTCTAGAACGCAGGCAGGTGCAGCAGTTCAGAGGAGTAAACAGGGTAGCCCAGAGGCGGGTCGGCAGCTTGCACCGTAAGGTTTCGCAGGAGAACCGGGTGCGCCTGGATGCTGTAGCGCTCCTCATCGTCGTTGGTAGCATAGAGCAGCTCCCAGGACAGATTTGCCCACTGACCTCGCACAGCTTCGTCATTAAGTTTTCCCACTTGTACTAACAATTCCTGAAGAGTGAGGACTCGACCAGTGTAAATTCCCTTTAAGGACAAACAGATCAAAACAGTCAGTACTTTGTAACCAAAACAGTGGAGAATGCAAAGTCCTAAATCAAGCTTTGGGGCTACATCCTATGAACATGATCCCTTTAAAAACGGCAGAATGTGTCAACTAGTCTCCTGGGTTCAAATCTTCCACCTAGGAAGACAGCCAGCATTGCTGCCCCTGGAGAACAACGCGGGCTGATTTTCAACCCCAGCCATGTCGGCTCCTGTCTAGAACAGCCAAACTCTGCTTGCACAGCCTTCACGTTTTGGAAGGCAATTAAAAAGAAAAAAAAGCAGCAGTGGAAAAGAAAACTCAAGTTTGACCTTGTTACTAGTAATTTTTATTTCTTACCATGTTTGGGTCATGCCCCAGTGAAAAAAGGTAGGGCTTTTCCTGAAGAACTGCCTGCTGCCACTCCAGATCCGACACCAGCCCAATGTACCAATCACTGTCGTATTCTTCCAGATAGTTAACCAGCTCCTTGAAGTTCTCAACTGGTCCCAGGCTCGCTTTGTCAATCATAAGTTTAAAAGCGTATCTGAAAGGGACACAAAGCCGTACAGGGAAGCAGTGCAGCGAAAGCGGGGAGGAAAGCCTCTCAGGCCACAGCAGGCAGGAAGGCACCATCACGTTATCGACTCTTGATACCCTGGTGAGTTACTGCTGGTCAGCGGAGTTACCAGCAGGTAGCGCGGGTACCAGATGTGAAACATCACCTTAAACATCTTGCCTTTGCCTCTAACCCTGGTACCGCTGCCTCTTAATGGAAGTGCTAAACACCTAACTCCATCACAGCTCTCTTTGATTATGGGGCAATGAAAATGGGTTATTTTTTTCCCCACTTAACAGAGATTTCCAGTGTTGGAGGCCGCTGCTGTGGGGAAGGGAAGAAGGAAGGAACCTCTGTATCACAGTCTTCATTGCCCGAGGTTACAGGCAGTATTTACGCAGGAATAAGCAACAAATACATTTAAACAATACAGTTTTAACATGAACTCTTAGTGGAAGGATGCTTTCAAAGCACGAGACTCTAATCATTGTTATGATCTGAGGGAGTATTTTTCTGTTACCTGAATGCTTTCAGTGCAAGCTGGAATAGCTCTGGTTTGCCGGTGAGCCAGTCCAAACCAACGGACCATGGAATGCCACCAGTGTACGCTCTGAACACGTGGCTTGGGGCAGGCACCGTGTTATCCAGTCCAAACAGGCCAAAACAACACGACAACACTCCATGGATGTACAAGTCTTTCAAAGCTTTATCTTTCATAAGGTCTTCAAGTAAACTGGAAGGCTTTTCTTTCAGATGAAAAAAGTCCAGTTGGCTCAAAATGAAATGGTACCATTCTTCTGGAAACCTCTGCCTCATTTCAGTGACTTTGGAAGCTGGCACTGGGGCTGTCCTCCATTCTTCAGGGACGCTCAGTAGCTCTGAGTAAGAGCAACTGAATTCAACCTGAGGTAAGGCTTTGTGCTGTTTCCCTTTGTCTACAGCAGGAAGCCCGAGCACAACAGCCCTGTGTAATTTATCTTCTGGCGACAGTTCTTGTGGGACACCTTGGCTCTGTGTTTCTACAGACCCTGGAATAGACAGAAGTACTTTGGGTGTAGCTCCCAACTGCCCCGGCTCTTTTCTCTCTGTCATTCTGCCACTGGGTTCGAGATCAAAAATGTCACTGTCGTCAGTCCAGTCCTCGATGGTATCGACACTGAAGCTGTCTTCTTCCCTCTGAGGCCTGGCTTTTTCTACAGCACTGCTGTGCTGATTTTCTGGAGATGATCCCTTTTCGCCACTGTTGGCACTGCCCGGGCTTTCCCGGGTTTTTGACTTTTTGTAACAATACTGGATTAGCATCCATACGAGCACTTTAATGAAATCATCTTTCAGATGCTTTAAATTCTGATGAGAGTCAATTACTCCAGATAAGACATTTCTGGCGTCGGAATACAGCCGCACAGGTAGAACAGTACAAGGAGTCAAAATATGTCCGAAATGGTGATTAGGAGAGAGAATCTTGCTGTGCTCCTGACGCTCAAAGGCCATTTCAAAAATTTCATCAACTCTGTGAGCTTCAGCAGCGTGACAGGATGTTTCCTGCAATTCCAGCCCCTAAATCATAAGTGAAAACAACTGGGTTTTAGTCTTCACCATTACGTACCCTTCGGTGCTAGCGAGCTGTTTTCTTGCAACCTTTTTCTGAACAAATAAAGACACGTTCCGTTGTCGGCCATTTCCACAGCTGAACTCTGAAACCTAACTGGAGATAACAGCGATAGCAAAGCACTCACTACAATATTAGACAGATCAATGGCTTAAAAATGTCTCTGCCCCACACAGATGAGCTTATTAAAGACACTGCGATGCAAGCGAGACGATAAAAAAATTCACACTCGTTAAGGATGTCAGTGGCACGAGCAGTTAACGCAGCGACAATGCTGGTCTGAAAAACCGGGCTGCAAGGTCAGGTAAATCAGTCGCCCTGCCGAAATGTTAGACGGCAAAACGTTTCCACGATTTCAAAGCATTACTGTCAGCCCCCAGCGTGCAATTACCTTGATGTTAACACCACAGTAAGTGAAGCCTTTTTCTAGCACCAATATCCACACCAGCCTATCCTGGAAACGGCACAGGTAATGTGATCCAGGTAGAGACAGACCTAGACAAGACAAAAAAAACCCCAAACAAACACGATGGTATTACTCTGGTATTGTATAGATGAAAACATTTTCTACATGCCAACTGAGGAGTTCAACTGCAAACATCGAGTATGTCTGCGTCAGCATCAGAATCGGTTAAAACTGGCTCACTAGTACTCTAGAATCTTCCAGGAACTAGCTGCAATTTAAACTGTACCGTTATCCTTGAAAAACTGTGGGAAATCCCCACAGAACTGCAGGACTACAACATTCATACTGGACCAGGGTTAAGCAACCCCACTCCCAATTCCCGCTGGAGACACAACTTCCAGGATTAAAGACCATCTCTGGCTGCATTTCCAAGCGCGCAGTTCCCACTGACGTCACCTGGAGATGCGAAATTCTAATGACTGCCGCATGCACTAAGGAACCATCACGTAGTACACAAGCACCTTAATGCCTCTATTTGCTGTGGAATACAAAGTTTATTTTTTTATGGGAGAAATAAACTCAATAGGATTTGTTACCCACACTACCAGATCCTACGCTGACTTGTCTGTATCCCAGAATGACTAGAAAACATCCCTTAGGATGCAAAATCCAGAGTGTAAATGATTCTGCTCAGTGTCAGCTTACCAGGGACATAGCATCGTGCCCATTTTACAGATACATGGGCAGAGAGATGAAGATCGGCATTTTCAAGAGCACCTGCTCATCTTTAAAGATCTGTGAACCAGTATCACACGCACGGACCACTAACACTGGATACAGTGCAAATCATCTGCGGTCTTCCTGAAACACCTCTGTGTGCGGAATAAATCCAATCCCACCGTCTGAAGTTGGACATGACCAAAAATACAGCCACACCAAATAAACTGGAATTTGAAAAATCATAGAATCACAGCATGGTTTGGGTTGGAAGGGACCTTAAAGACTATCCAGTCCCAACCCCCCTGCCATGGGCAGGGACACCTTGCACTAGACCAGGTTGCTCAAAGCCTCATCCAGCCTGGCCTTGAAGACAGCCAGAAATCAAGTCTGAACAACTTCAAAACAAACATCAAAATAATTAGTACTCAAAACTCCCACAACCTGGCTCCCACTGTAACAATTAGATGACACTTATGCCCCCTCAAAATGGTACTTTTTCTCTCTTCGACCTATTCCGATCAGAAGTGCAATGCCAAACTTCCTACCCACTGCTGGTTGTACTGCATTTAAGTTACAGCCGTAACTGGCAGCAAACGTCACGCTTCTGACCTGCTTCCGCTCTCCCTCACGTCCAAGCGATCCCTCACCTGCACACAGAATTTGTTTCAGTGTTCTAAGATGGAATCAGTGAAACCAACCATTAAGATGTAGTTAAAATTTAAGCAACCTTTTCTACCCCACTGAGCTAATGAAGTGCGTTTTCTTGCTAACATTTTGCAAAGATTTTAATTCTTTTCTTGCTAGCTGTTGAAGCTACTCAAACTCCTTTACACAGAAAAAATTATGGCTTTAAATTAAAATAGAGACACGCAAAGCGGTACCTCTTCATTCTGAACTCATCTGAGAACATCACATTTTTTCCTTGCTTGAAGACATTCGTTCACAGGTTTTCCCATTAAAGAGGAGACTTTTCCCCCCTCAAGACTAGAGTTTTAAATTATTTAATCTGAGGTGTACATGCCATTATGGCAATTGAGAAATATATATAGATATATAAAATAGATATAAGATAGGTATCTGTTATCTAAGCACATTTTATATAAAACACACACCCAGGCTGATGCAGTAGGCAAACTGCTGTCTCCCTTCTTTAAAGGAAAAAAGCTTCCTAGTTCTATTTTTGTAGTAGCTCTCTACACCATTACTAAAACTTCAGCAAACGTTTCCAAGTCAAGCACTTGGATAGAGTCTTCAGAACAGTGTGATGAAGGTTAACTTACACCCTCTTTAAATAGCAGTCCATTTTTTCTAGCCATAAGCCACTTTTTAAGAGGCTTATGAAAATATTTGCCTTTTGTCTAAGGGCAAAGATGTTTTGATTATTAACAAAGCCTGTTTTTGGAGAAAACCAGCTTGCAGTTTTAATAGTTATTGTGTCCCCAGCTGGGAAAAAGACTTGGCATTTCTCCACCTCTGTTTATATAACTCCGAGACACCCATACCGATGCCTTTCACAGGTTTTAAAGCCACAAGTGCCGTTACAACCCTACGCTAACTGCCTGCACAAGATATGACATTAAGTCTTATCAACTGGTTCTGTTCTCAACTGTTTACTGCCAGTTAGGCTACATCATGTATCTTACAGACATCCAGTCCATATTCACCCTACCTAATTAACGCAGCCAAATTAGCAAAGTCACCTTCTGGATCCCGAGTAATGGGACTGATGCAGAGAAGGGCACGCACATTGACAACCACAAAGAGCAGTTTGACACACATCCTTCTCTCCACTTACTGCTGGAGACCACGGCCTTAGGGCCACGGTTTAGCAGTGGGCCTGGCAGTGCTAGGTGAATGGTTGGACTTGATGATCTTAAAGGTCTGTTCCAACCTGAACGGTTCTACAATTCCACGATTCAAGTTGGTGTCTCCCATTAGGTGGGATGAACATATACCATCTTTTTTGCTCACTATAAAAACATCAGGATTTATACTATTTCATCACCATTTAGTTTCTCCTTACTTTAAAGATAACATACCAGAATGGTTTCTTTCAAGAACGTAACAAGTAGAGATTCATGAGTAGGATAAAATTAACCACTTTTTCCTCAACTGAACAACCTCAGAATATCAGATTTAACCTACGCTGAGAAACGTGGTTTAAATCAGACACCAGGACTCTCCTGTTCTCCGGCAAAATCACGTTTCCTAAAATACCTAGCTACGTTCCTTCAGTGCTGCTAGCGTACCTACCCAGGCTGCCGGCTGCGAGCGCGGACTGCAGAGCAACAGCCAGACTTGGGACCATCTGCTGGTAGTACACAGTATCGGAGCAAACGCACGCTGCAGCGCCCACAGGCCCCGGCCAGCTTCGGACAGGCCTAGGAAACCCAATCAAAAACACCGGTAGCGTGAAGAGCGGCAGCAAGGGAGAAGAAAGGAGCGCAGAGATGGTGATGAAGGTCAGCAGGATCGGGAAGAAAACGACATTGAGCGTGATTAAGGTGGCTGTAGATTTACGACGTTGTTTTTTCTCTGTCCACGATGTCAAAAGAACAGCTATGGCAAACTGCAACTTTGAGACAAACTGAAGCAGTCGATCCCGGAGGATACCAACCTGCAAGATACAAATAACGAGCGCGTTTATTTGTATCCCGTCTCATACCATATTCAGCACTGCCAAAGCTGCTTTATCTACAGGAATTTAAAGAACATGAAGCGTGATTATCATTGACTGGTAGTAGAGCGTGTATCTGGCTTCTATTTGCTAGGTCCCAGACCCTGTAATTCTCTAATAAGGGAGGGCGAGGAAACAAAAGACTTTAAGTGACAACCACCTGCTTAAATTCACATTATGAGAATTACCAGCAAGAGTCTGATGCCTGTATCAAGGTTCCTGTTCCACCAGAGGTCTGGATTAAACACCAACATTTGTGCTACTGACACAACCACTATGTCCAATAGAGCATTTTCTGTGTTCTGCCAGACCTAAAACAGAGGTATGTTAGACATATATTTAAAAATGTATTTATCCATCTCTGCTTTCATGACCTGGAATATTTCTTCCAAGTCACTTTAATACTTAAATTACGTAGAAGAGCATTTCTTAGGCTAACGTATTTAAAATTCAAATTACCATCCTAAATATTCTCGTGAATCCAATGCAAACAGACACAGAATGAAGATTTTGTAGTGAGCGGTCTAGTGACAGGAATGCTATCATAGCGAACGGAGACACTGTAATTGAAATAAAAGAATCATTGATTTCCATTCAAAAACATAATTCAAGTCTACAGAGGCAAGCAGTCTTACTGCAGAATGGAACTTGGTGTAAAAAGAGAACTCTTCATTATTACAAACCCCTCCTTGTGTTACACTTCCAGGATATCAAACAGCATATTCGCACTAGTGGCCTGAGGTGGCAAACATTTACGTCAACGCTTAGTTGTTACTTAGTATTCCCATCCTCTTAGGCATACAAACAAACAAACAACAAAAAACCAGGAATAGCCAAATAAGTGTAAAACAAACATGGGACTAGCACTCATCAACCCACTTCTCCAAGCTGCTGCTTTTTGGAATGAAACAATTCAGATCAAATTTCGGTTCCATCAAAAAGTAGATACCTTTGTCCCTAACCTACCAGACTGCTCCCTTTACTAACAAGTTGCAAGAACCAGCTGTTTAGTCAGCTTGAAGACTCTCAACTCACTTTTGCTCCCGAGTGCCTTTTAAAATAAACCTACAAGATCTTTCAAAAGTGAGTACTGATGTTGTAACGAAAATCCTTTAAAAGGAGGAGCTGGTTGAAAAGATCAGCTTTCTAGGTTTACCCCTAAAAAAGAATTAAATAAAACCACTGATCACTTTCAAACATTCTGAAGCAGTAATTTTGACCTCAATGCACAATTTAGCAAGACATCAACAAATATTTCCAGCTACTTGTTTTTTCTTGGTTCATTCACAGAATCTTGCATATACAGTAATTCTAGCGTTGTGTCAATCTTCCTACAAGCATCATCTAACAAACAACAGACAGTGCGTATTCCTACCTAGTGTTAGTAAAATCCTCCTGACAACACCAACTTTCATTAGCCTTCTTTGCTTCTCCATGAACACAGTCACAGTCCTGACATCCTTTGGATAAAAGGGGTTTCGGAAGACTCCAAACAAGTACACTCCCTGAATCTCTCTAAGAATCCACATAATTATAAGTAATACGATCAAGACATAACTCGTTATAACCTGAGGACTGGCTTTGGAAAATGATGAAAAGCCTGCAAACTGATGCAGCAGGCTAGCTTCTAGGAGAGCAAACGTCAAGACGGTCAGATAAAAAATAAATTCCCTCCACCCAGACTGTTTTCTAAGGCCTCTGTGCATGTTTTTAGATTTGCTGGAGGCTAAATGGCTGGTCATGGTGTGTTTGAAGGCAAAACCAATCTCGCTTAGGTTAAGACTCAGTATGAACCCAAATCCAGTCATGAAGAGGATTACACCGAGAGTGCTGGGAATGAAATACGATGCTATTGCTGTTCCAGCAGAAATGACAAACATTACTAACAACCTGTGAAGGAGAAAATAAAAAAGATTTGCTTGGAAAGAAAAAGGTTATAAACAATATTGATATCTTCTACGATTAGATAAACAACATTTACTTTGTGTTGCTTGACACAGGTGAACCTCCTAGTCCAAACTCCAACAGCTGTTCCATTCCCCACAGAAAAAGCGCATCAAGGGGGGGCAGAATTCCCATTGCCCATAAGAACGGCAGAAAAAGAAACACGACGTGCAAAATCTGGTTTGTCTGCTCTAGAATGGGCGTGCTGACAGCAAACCTGGATAAAAGAAGAAATGTATTTGACTTACGTGAGGGAAATGATAACGGATGTGTGGGAAGACTGTTTGTTTAGCTACTACAGCAAAATGAGAAGTGTAAGCACTGCATATTCAATCTACGAAACCTCAACTACTATCTTTTAAAAGGAAAAGCAAGGAGATGCATTCATGCTTGGGGCAGTAATACACTAATCACACCACCAGAACACAGGCTATTTGTTCAAAGGATCAGAAGACTTCAGATTATGCAGATGAGCCAAGCAATGCAAGTATCTTTATTGTTTTGATACTGTTGCCATAGAACACTCAACTACTTGTGCAAAAAGCAGGGCCCGGAGGCTCTAAGACCTCAACCCTTTAACGAAAAAATGCTGATTTTCAGAATTACAAAAGCGGGATGCAAGACGTCAGCCTTAATACGGAAAGAACTGGCACGTTCCCTGTACACCTAGAAACTCACTCTAAAAATATATTATTTTCTACATAAAAGTATTAAAATCATCCTGTAAAAACAAAGATCAATATTAGAAATCCGCATAAATTTTAAGTCACACACAGTTCACCTGCTAGCTAATTAAGTTAAAGGTGGACTGGTAAGACACTTGGTTTCTCTCTCCTTCTTAATAAATAAATAAGTATGCCTCAAAGGGATTCTGTCAGGAATTTACGGCATGTCTAAAATTTTCTCCTCAGGAAATTAGATAGAATTTGGGATCCAAGACCACAGGAATAATTCTCACAGCATAACCGAAGAGGCAGCCAGGGTAGGTCATTAACAACGACATCTCCAAGTGCAAAACCAAATAAAATAAGACATGCTTTTTCTTTAATGCATTTCAAGTGCCCCAACCATAAGATATGGACCTGTGACAAAGCGACAGAAATATCACCCGACAGGGAGAAAGAATGCATAGAGTAAATCTACGAGCATCTTAAAGTAAGAGCTTCTAAAAATAATTTAGCTAAGATGCTCATCTGAAAAGTGGAAATATAAAAGTCTCCTATTTGCAGACTGACATAGTTCTTTTGTATTACAAAAACATTTAAAAATCCAAGTTCCAAATCCGTCCAAGATACAGCAATGTTCACATCTGCTTATCCATCCATTAAAACCAAATTCATAGTCCTTTTTTTTCCCCTGTAGTTTAAACCCCCCTGCAGTAACTTTGCAAAGATTCAGTTACAAAATATCCCAGGATGAAATCTGGATACAAATCCAGCCCTCCTGAAGCCTGCAGTACTTAAACTTACGATTCCAGGTCAGAAACGTGTTTTTGAAGCACACCTTTTAAAAGGATGTTGATGCAAATGCTCTTGTACAAAAAATACCAAACCCGACACAGTAGAAGATAATTTTAGCTGCCCCCTACTTAGAAACTCCTCTAGCTGCTCTTCCTAATTTACATGGAATGCTATAAAAATTTAGGAACAACCTGTTTATGCACAGTGTGGGACCTCAATTTTTACCATGTACTCTTCTGGACTCTTTCTCTGGAGTTCCTACAGTTGATTCAAAGCTCAAATTCTCCTCAGAATAATTTCACCTTTCTCATTAAAAATATGTAGAATAACCATTACTTTAATTAGCTAAACACTGTATTAGGTTTACCTGTGTGCAAGATCCACTGCAATAAAGACAAAAATATAGAAAGGTCTCATCAGGGCAGTGATTTCGTAAGTATCCAGTGCTTGGAAAGTAGCTGTTTCCGTAGCCGTGTTTACGATTAACGAATACTCTCCTATGCACAGAGTCACCCACCCAAACACAAAGATGGTCACAGTTCCTCCAATGTTGCTATACAGCAAGGTGATTCTGTCTGGCAGCAAATACCAAGTTCCCAACCCACACAATACCCCTGCCAGAAGGGAATGAAATACAGTGTTGATTATATACTTCTTGCCAGGAATAATAAATTTTACTGTCTCTGAACCTACACAGCTGGAAAATTCAAACTCATCTTCATCTGTTAGGGAGTTCTGAATCTGCATTCTTTCTACTGTCACTGTTTTCTGCTTGGCATACAGATTTATCATCTGAAGGATAAGCGCAGTAACAAACATCAGTCCTCCTGAAAGCGCTGCCGTACAGTAGTCTTTCATAACGCCTAATTGGTACAAAAGCGTTCCTACTCCTCCCAAAACCCATGGCATCAAGAAAAGAATAATCTGATTCACGTAGATGTAAGGAGGGGCACAATAGCCTAATTTAAACCGGGGACCTCCCAGCATAGTCTGTGGAAAGCGCTTTAAGAAGAACTCCTGTTTGTAATCATTCAGCAGAGGTACATCTGGACCCATTCTTATTGCTCAGGAATGCTGGATGAGTATCATTTTTCCTGTAAGAGAACAGAAAGAAAAAAAAGGAAATATTACTGAATCTGGGACTGGGAATTTAACCAGGGAGTTCCCTTGTCCTATGTTCATTTACCAAGTTATAGTGGGATTCTGACATAAAAGTGTTAGCAAACATCGTCCTCATGCTCCCACAGAATCTGCTAGCACACAGCTACTAAGAAAACACCTAGAATGGAAAAAAACTATCTATTTTAAAATGCGAACATGTTCTTTAATCTGAAGCTTTAGGCAAGAAATAAAACATATAATCTGTTCTGTTCTTGGGAGATGACAAACCCAACTCATCTCCACACCATAACACTTTCTTAACACTGAAATATTTTTCCAACCAGTCTGATTCCAATCATATCTTGCCACAGAGCTCCAATTCCCATTAATCCTGCTAAGATTAATGGACAGAAGAGTCCATGATTTCAGTGAACAGCCACGTAAGTGCAAGGATACAGTCACACCTAGGTCCCTGTAAAAATCAAAGCCTTATGAAATAAACTAACTGTAAAAAAAAAAAAAAAAAAATCAGTAGAAGCATTAAAAATGGTGTTCCATGTCAGCATTTTTACTGTCCTCCCTACACAGCCTAGCTGCAGAACAGGATCTCACCGGTCTAAGCACTACAAAAGACAAAACCAGTTCACTTTCTGCTTCCTAAAGCATATAAAATTAACACCATAAACCCAATACTTGTAGCAAAATCTGTATGTCAATGGAGAAAGCTGAAAAAAGGGACCTGTAACCAACTACAATGAATCATCAAACAGAAATCAGATAATACTACTCATTTAGTGAGGATCAGGCAGTGCAGAAGTAAGGAATGGTAAGCATGATATTCAAACATGATGTTGTATTACTCCTCACAAAAGCAAGAATCCATGAATGACAGCTAGAAATACTCCAGCTAACAGCTAAAAAACAGCACAAAAATTAAGTGCCTAAACACTTCAGTAATAATTCTAAAAAAGGAGAGATTTGGTGTGCGTTGGGAGACGTCCAAGTACTGAAATTCTGACTTTCTTCTACTGGACCTGTACAATCTGACGAGTCCCCGTTAGCCATCATTGCTGACAAATCAAAAATGAAACACTCGGCTGCCATGGAGTTTCCAAACTACCGTGATCCCTTCTTTCTACAACACCCAATGCTTTTTGATGCTTCTGAGAACATTTAAACAGTCATCAATCACTTGACTGGAGGTAGGTGCTAGTCATCATGGGACCAAGTCAGAAACTGTAAATGAGAGAGATTAAAGGCCATTCCTACGCATTATCACCACTGGAAATTTGCGTTCAGGGTACACGATGTCAAAACACTCCACAATGAAAAGCAGGATCCCACAGGCTCTGTAACTGCTCTCCATGCAGGCTGTGGAATTTTAATTTTTTTAAGTAAAAATTCCAAATTGGAATACCCCATGTTCAATGTTCTACGTGTAAAAATCCCAAATTTGAATTTTTACACACAAAATATTGAAAACATGGAGGTTTTTTCGTCGTACTATTTCAAGGCATTGAAAGTTTCTTAAGGGAAGGAGAAGGCAGCAGTCTTAATGGAAAAGCCACATGTTGACTGGAAAGAGGCATTCATCCTCAGCTCAGGAATTTGAAAATGTAACAGGGACACACCCAACTAAAACCAGATTTAAAGCGTAGTGAAAAGAAAAATGAATACCCACAATCCAGCCAATCTTCTTTAGAAAAAGAAACACTGTTTAGAGGGCTATGTAGGCAGGAAACTATGCTGCTGTGACAGTTACACGCATGTAAATGATACAAGCCGAGTTTTAAAAGAAACTTAGAACCGAAAAGGTGCATAGTTTTCCTTTAAAACCAGTTTGCAGGCAGCTGTGTTTTTCTACGAAGGGCTTTTTTTTTGTTTCAAGTTGCAGTCTGCATTTGCGTTTGACAGTTTATATTGCTAAGAAAATGTTAACAAAACATTCCTCTTACAGTTTCTGTGTAAACAATAGACATCCTTGTGTGACACACAAAAGTCTAAACATATAAACAATATAGTTCTACTTGGCTAGACTCCAAGATGAGCCATAAAAAGATATGATTTATAAATGAAAATCCCAAGACTTCAGCTCACATACTATGAAAAAGATCCCCTGACTATCATCCTGGCTCCCAAATAGTCGGGTAGCACATTAGGACTTCAAAGAGGCGCATGTGTCTCTGTTTCTGAGTAAAGCCCTAGCAACAAGACTCCTCACATTTGTGAGTGTTTACAGGACCTGGCTTCAATATACATTCCTAGCATAGAGGCCCGGCCTGCCTTTGAGCGCTTGCTTGGTTACCCAAACAATCAGCACCACAACAGTCTGTCAGCAGCATCAGGGATCCGTGTGACTTGGATACTATCACAACAAGGATGGCAATAACACTGTAAAGCCATTTAACACGTTCCTCCCCGTCCCAGTATCCTCTCTGTGTCCTTCTTACAGAAGGAAACAAAGCAACTCTTGCTCAAACAGAGGCAGAAATTCACAGGAGGGCAGGGATAACATCATGCTTCATGTCCGCTGATGGCGGACCGGCTCGGCGTGGGTTGGTTTCATGTCGTGCCCATTACAGAACACGTGTACAGCCCTTGGCCGTCTAAGCCGCTGAAGCACATAAGGCTTAAAAATACTTGCCTCAGTGGTCTTCGAGGTCTTTTCACTCAAGACTAAGTAACGGCTATAAACCACCGGCTAGCACAGGAGGGACGAACGCCAGCGTGGGGAGAGCTGCGAACAGCCCCCGTCCATGCGCATCCATAGGCACCCCGTGCCCACCTCCATGGCTGGCTGTCCAGCTGTGCTGCAGGCCAGCTTCCAAGCCCCGCGCCAGGCAGGGCAGGCTGGGGCCCTCTCCTCGCAGGCATCGAGGCCATCCCCCAGCCAGACCGGGGACGGAGCACTGCAGGATGACGCGCTCCCTGGAGCACTGCAGGATGACGCTCTCCCGGGAGCGCTCTGGGAAGGGCTGCGGAGCACCTTCTCCCGACACCCCTGACCAGACAGGCTCCCACCACGCTTTCTACCCTGCCATCTGCCCCCCCATCTTCGGCAGCAACAGAAAGCAGTCAACCGAGGGCCGCAAATAACGCCTCTGCTGTTTGCAGCTCCGGGGGCAAAGCCAGGGAGCCTCCGGGCCCGCCGAGGCGCGGCCAGC